TACATAACTTTGATTCAATGAATGCAAACCTGGCATCAAATTTCTATGGCAAGCTACAGATTTTTTGCAATATTTTTTTATTTTACAAATTATTAGAAAGAACTCCAAAAAAAAGATTTGAAACTCATTTTGAAATGCTAGGATATGTTTTTAAAAATTTAATATATTTACAATATTAAAACAAAAACAGAGAGTATATTAAAATAAATGTAAACTGCCTAAAATGAACATTTTACAAATATCAAAGTCCTATCAAAAACATCAACTTTTTATATATATATCACGTTTTAATAATAATTACATTAAGTCTTCTTGCTTAATACGCCAACACTAGTCTGCCATCATATGCTAGTCCCATCCCTGGTAACATTCTTTGATTGTCTTAAGGTTCTTGGTGAATTTTTCAGTGCTTTAACAAATTGGTTCATGAGTCCTTGTTTAAGATGGAGTAGCAGAAAAACCTTTTTTTTTGCAATTCCATCTTAAACAAGGAGTGTTTTTAATTTTGTTTTTAATTGCAACAAGAGTGTTGCAATTAGGCCAATTTTTTTGTGTCCAGTGTTGGTTTTTTGTTCGACTATCCCACATACAGAGCTAACATGGAAACTTTGTTAAACCTTTCTACTGACCAAGGAGAAAATTATAATCCTGAGTTTATTTAGTTTGAGATAAATTTCCACCCACCCTTTTATTAAGACAGCCTCAATTACTAGATCTAGAAAAACTTCCCACCATTCTTTTTTATTTCCAATCCACCTTGTATTAAGCACCTGAAAGTAGTAAAAATGGTAAAAACTCTTGGCTACAACTGACAACATAAATGTTTGAAGTTCTTGATAGGCTGAACTTTTAGTACATTTGAAGGATTTTAAAACTTCGGCACATGATAGATGTATTGTGATTCCAGAAAGTTGATGATACTATAAGGAACAAATACAAATAATAAAAACATTTAACATGGATATTATTGGTACTAATATCTTTATAATAATACAGCATATGAAATTGCAAACAAGAATGCCTTTTCACTCTTTATTTATGTTAATAGATTTATGGTTGCATTACAAAAGCATTTACTAATATATACTCTGATAGGTTTGCTCAACTAAATTAAATAAAATACAGTACAAAAGAGGCAAGTAAATTATAGGAAATTTTAACTGTAACCTCCTCAATTGTCAAAGATCCTTGGAGCCTTAGAAAGGTGAACTTAATAGAAAGAAATATCACATTAGGCCCATCTTTGAGAAATAATATGTTATGAGATGGTATGAGTTAAAGTTGTTAACTTCACTGTTAAAGATTTCAAAATGTCTCTAAAACATTTGAGATGAAATACAAGATTAAGTAATCTGAGAACAATGGACCTTTTAAGCTTTTCATCATCAGCCTCAGATAAAAAAGATAACTGCTCTCTAAAGAATTGTTTTTGTCAAAAAGAAGAAAGAAATTATTACAACTAGAAATAGTAGTAGTGCATAAAGGAGATTATATATTATAAAGGAGATAACCATGGGATAGAACAAGACCTTTCTTAAAACCATTGAGAATGAATAAAAGTTTCTACAACTGAATCCAAGAGATTATAATTGAGACACAACTTTAAATTGAGTGACAAATAATATTATTTCAAGAATCATCACAAGGAAAGTCATAAAAAGAATAACAATCAACCTATAGGTAGTGTAATAAGTTCATTGACAGAGAATTAGTTGTAGAAGAATCAGGTGTTTTATCACATCAGGTGTATTATCACATCAGGTGTATTATCGCATCTGGTGTATCACATCAGAAATATTATCATATAAGGTATACTATTATATCAGGTGTATTATCACATCAGGTGTATTATCGCATCTGGTGTATCACATCAGAAATATTATCATATAAGGTATACTATTATATCAGGTGTATTATCACATCAGGTGTATTATCACATCAGGTGAATCCGATGTAGAGGAAATTAATGAAATGTATGAGGTTGTAAATGAATGTAGAGGATTTAAATGAAAAAAAGATCTGAAATACCTAAATGAGAACTAGAAGAAATTGAGCACAAGCTAGTGTCAGGTCTAGCTAGGATCAGAGACAAGATGCAAATCAGTAGACCACAATTAAAGTCACTAGTAACAATAACATTGGCTAATAAGAAAGGACTTGGTCAACTTGATTAGAAACAACATCATCAATATTTTAGTCTTGGGATAAAGCAGAACAATTAAGATCAAATAGAAAGGTTATTAAGTGAAGTTAAACAAAACCTGATTCGAACGATTCAAACCTGATTTGACAAAAAATATTTAAATTAAAACATAAATATATATGCACAGGTCAAGCATGTAACTTCTAAAGTCTTTGTGAATCAAAAGACAACACTATCATCAACACTAAAATTTGAAAATAAAACAACTTTAAGTTGAACTCACAAAAATCAAGTAAATCTTGTAATTTTTTGTAAGAAGTTCAACTGAAAAAGTAACTTTAAAAATCAAAACTATTCATAGCAATTTGATTGAAATAATTTAATGGCAATGATGGTTCCTTTTGTTTAATAAATATAGGTACTTTATTTGTGTTTTGAATCAATAAAGAACTTCACTCAATCATAGTGCCTCATTGCTTCTCAATCACAGTTGCTTCATTGCTTCTACACAAAAATGCAGCAT